ATTGGGTCAACTCATCTCCAATCGGCTCCAATCAGATCACATAGGGTTGGCTTCAATTGGATCATATTGAGTCTGCTCAGCTCCACACAGATTGGATCCAATTGTCTCGGCTCCAATCAGATCGACTCCGATTGGGTCAGCTCCGATCTGCTCAGCTCCAACCGGACTGGATCCAATCGGCTCAACTCCAATGGGCTCCAGTCAGCTCAGCTCAGATTGGGTCAACTCCAATTGACTCCGATCAGTTTGGCTCGGTTCAGCTCCAATCCACTCATCTCGGATTGGATCAGCTTGGTTTGGCTTGGCTCCCATCGGCTCCATTCGGCTCATCTCAGCTCCAATCAGCTTGATTTGGCTCGGCTTCGGTCAGTTCAGATTGAGTCGGCTCTAACGGCATTGGATCGGCTCAGATCAGCTTGCTTAGACTCAGCTCCAATTGGCTCTCACTGGATGAGATTGGCTTGGATGACACCAGTTTGGCTTGGTTCTGATCAGCTCCGAACAGATTGGATTGGCTTGGATCAGTTTGGTTCGACTCAGCTGCAATCAGCTCTGACTGATGGATTGGGTCAGCACGGGTCAGCACAGCTCCGACTGCACTGGATCAGCTCAGATCTCTTTGGTCTGGCTCAGATCCAACTGATCAGCTTGGCTCAGCTCCAGGCACATCAGATCGGTTCTGCTCAGCTTGGTGCTGCACGGTCCGCTTGGCTCAGCTCGGTTCGGCTCGGATCAGCCTGACTCCGATCGGATTAGCTCGGTGTGGATTTGATTGGATCAGCTCAGCATGGCTCACATCGGAGTGACTTGGATGCACACGGCACAGCTTGGATTGCATTGGTTGGACTGAGTTCAGCTCGGATCGCATCATCTTGGACTGGATTGGACGGGTTCAGTTCAGATCACACTGGCACAGCTTACCTCAACCTGGCTCCACTGGCCTGGGTTTGACTCAGCTCGGTTCATCCCGGTCCAATTTGGGATTGAGCAGCCCGGTTCGGATGGGGTTGGCTCAGTTTGGATCTATCAGCATAGCTCAGCGCACTCGAATGGACCGGTACCGCTCGGCTCGGTTGGACTTGGCTCAGCTGGGCTCTCTTTGCAGCTTGTGCACGGCGTGTGCGGAGGCAGCGGCGATGGTGCGAGCGCGCGCTGCCCTGCGCGACCTCGGCGCGTGCTCCATGCGCAGAGGGTTGCGCGTTTGTGCACAAATCAATAAGCGCACGAGCCTGCGCACCCCGCGCTGCTCCACGATCCCTCCCCTCACCAGCACGTGCCCCGTTCCGCGCGGCCAAAGCGCTGCTCCTGCCAGGAATCAGCCTCCGCGAAGGCCCCCGCTTTGCAATCTGCCGCGGCACAAATGCCCTGGAGCAGAAT